GCGTGAGGAAGACGAGGAAGTTTACAAATGTCTTCGCCCCGAACATCGCGGTCGAATGGCGGTGGGTCCGGCGGCGGAAACGGCGAGATGAGATGAGGAAGCGGTTGAAACGGAATGTGTGTTCCCGGGAACGCTTTTAGTGTGTGACAGCTTGGAAGAAATAATATTTTACTTTTTATTACCTGGTTCGTCTTATTGTCTGACGAGCGTATAATTTTAGCGGTATATTTATTTGATTTTTTTTCTTTTTCTAAAATTACAAAAATATATTTTTTATAAATATTTTACTTTTTATAATGTGTCAAATCAACGTAATTACGTGTCATTTTACTATTATTTTAATTTTAATCGATAAAATTCGCAATAGATTATGAAAATATTAATTTAATCTCTACAATTACTAAGACTTGAGTCACGTAATGAAAAGTATGTTTAACTCTTTAATTTAACGGTTTTTTAAAATTAGTATTTTCGAGGAGGTTTTTTTATTTCCTGTACCTTTCGTTTGCAAATAAAATACTAAATTCTAATAATTTTCCTCGATACTACTGTCACTCCATCCATAGTGCCTTGTCATTCAGCTGTTTACGCTGGAATGGGACGGGATAATTCCTCTGGTATTCCTGTATTAGAGAAACATACACTTTATTTTAGGTGACCGATTGGTTTGAGAACATAGAAAAAAAAAAGACATTTAAATCATAATTTTTTTAAGTATAAAGTAATTCAATTATAAAAAAAATAAGTTTTATCTCAAAATTATATTTTGTTTATAAAATTTAGAAGAATCTAATTGTAACATCCCAAAAATACAGTATAAAACTATATAATAGAACAATCACATGTTAATAATACTACAGATCAGTCTTACAAAAGATAGAACGTACGCTTATGGCTGAACGACCTTACATAATAACGAGAAAGTTAAAACTGTACAAATAAGCAATCTAGACCGAACGGTTTACAAAAGACCTATATTGAACGGTCATACAAAAGAAAAAGGGGTAAGAGATGATCAAATGGTCATCGTACAAATAAACTAACTACTGACCGAACGGTTCTACTGTTCGGTCTTAACTTCTACCTCGACCAAACTTTCTTCTTCCAGCGCTTCTTCCAGCAGCTCTGCTCCTTCTGCTCACATCCACACGGATGATCATTGCAACAGGACAAACGACCGAACGTACAAAACGAACAAGACAGGAAAATAGGGTAAGCTTATGTAATTTAATTCATGTATCAGCATACTTCATAAAATCAATTAAACCAGATAAATCATTAACTCTTTCATTCAAAGCCTAATACTAGACTCTGACGGTCCAGACTGTATGATTTCTGTGTAGCTACGATGTTCGTGCAACCGGGTGATGTAGTAACTGGGATACCCTCAACAGCTGCCACCTGAGGTTAGTCCTATCTGTCCAAATTAACCATAAGGACTAGGACCTCCTGTCATTCCCACACATGACTTACCCTTCTCTACGTGAGAACGAGTAATCACGGAATATCAGAATGAACCGCCAGCTTAGCGTGCCCACATTCATACTTTACCAATTTCTAATATTCATTCATGAGATATTCCTCCCCGGAACACTCTTTCATATTCATACTCATTTCATCTACATCATATTCCATCATCTTTCATTTTCAAAACCTCAAATCGAACCAATTTGAATACAGATCCCATAGGATACCAAATACCGACCGTTAATCTTCAACCCCAACGAGACCGAACACTTGGAGTGAGACCGAGAGGTCTCCAGTTCCAAAACAGATCAAAACCGAGAGAGTTACTATCAGGGTTGAGAAAGAGACCGATTACAATAATATTTCTCAAAGACTAATAGAATCGAACGTTATTTACAAGGTGAGCCAATTTAATGAACTGACTCATGAGAGTTTAGACCGAACGCCAATAAGCCTAGGCCGAGTACTAAGACTCTAGGCCGAACACCATAGAAACTGATACTGTAGGACATCAAATAATAATAAGTGACGGAATTATATGAAGAAACCGAACGCTATAAAAACTTAGCTTATTTATGAGTTTAACATCAAGGAGAACGAGTGGTAGTCGAAGACTGAACACTGTAGAGACCGAACGCTATTAGTTTTGGCCGAATGCTCTTATTTAAAAATTAAATTACAGAATCAAGGTCGAGCGCTTGGTTTAAGACCGAGCACCACTTAATACGAGCACTTGGTGTAAGACCGAGCACTACTTAGTACGAGCACTTGGTGTAAGACCGAGCACTACTTAGTACGAGCACTTGGTGTAAGACCGAGCACTACTTAGTACGAGCACTTGGTGTAAGATCGAGCACTTGGTGTAAGACCGAGCACTACTTAGTACGAGCGCTCGGTGTAAGACTGAACACTATTAAACTTATAGAATAAAGGCTTGATAAATATAAGATACCATTTAACTAGTGTTCAAAAATGAACGAAATATACAAATACATATAGATATACTGAAGTTTATAACCAAAAATGAAAACGTTCGGTCCTCAACTGGAATTCTCTCCAAATGACAGAATCCAGTTCCAACCGAGTCCACAAGAAAATTGAACGGTCAATGACCTTCAATGACGAACATCAATTTTCACATAGAAATACGAACTTAGAATTCATACTCTTATTAATACATTCCTCAGCATTTATCTTCATACATTCATACAGCCAAAACATAGTAACAATCATACTTCATATTTCATCCAACAACCAAACAAGCATGCCAGCATTCAAAAACGAGAATAAAAATTAGATTATATAAGCTTCCCTTACCTCTTAACGTGACCAAACGCTCACAGATATGGTTACTGGTTCACCTCTACAAATCCTTCTACCCTCAACGCTTGACAACTTCCGAAACTAAACCAAACAGAAAATCCAGAAACTCTCAGAACGAGATAATTGATTCATGCAACCCATAAACTAGGTTTGCATGTACAAGTAAACCACACGACTGAGGGAGAGATGAACTTACCAGCTCGGAATCGAAAACTGATCGGTTCAAACGAACGCCCTCGACGCCGGGAATGCTCAGGTGTGGTCTGCTTGATGATCGGAGGAAGAAAAGAGTAAGATTTTGTAGAGAGAAGATTAAGAAATCTTATAGAGAAGGAGGAGAAGAATGGATTTTCAGAAGGTTGAAGAAGATGGTTGCATGCAGAGAGTGGCGTGAATTTTTGAAAACTTAGAGTTTTACTCCTATCGTCAAAACCGAACGGCCACTCCACTACTCACACATGTCTTCCACTTTCTGTTTTCCAGCTTCCCTTCCTCGACACTTGTCTTTCAGTCAGCTGAGTTTTGAGTGAATTTTAATGGGTCTGATACTAACCAATTAATTTATTTTTTAATAATTATTAATATCAGCCTTAATCAAACATCCAACCGTTCTCTTAACCAATCTTAATTTCGTGGGGTTTACATTTTTGCATTGGTGGTAAAAGACAACAAATTGAATTATAGGCATAGTCTTCTACATTAGTTCATCTGGAAATACATTCCAAATCAATTAACGGGGGAGTTTAAAAAAAATTATATTTCATATCCTGGTAGATGATTATGAAAAGTTTTTAAGAATTACTCCATCCAGAAAATTACTTTAAATTGAACATTCCATAAATTTATACGGTGATTAGGTTAAATATAAGATTCCAATTGCTCAAATGGCTATTATACTAAATTATTTGCACTAATATTAAAGTTTGCTAATACTTTATAATAGAACTTAAGTTATTTTTATGTATTTGATTTGTTTTAGTTTATTTTTTACTGACTTATATATATATATATATATATATGATGTTTTCTTCCTTTGTCATTGTTGTATTTGTATTTGTGTTGTAGGTGGTTTTGCGGTGAGTGTGAACTTTTTAATCATCAAGTAATAACATTGAAAATTAGCTATGTGAATCAGTTTGAATGGTGGTGATTGTATATATGTGTTTTTCTAGTTCAATGAGATTTTTTTTAAGTTCTCCTTCAATAAAATTCAAAAGTACAATTATTCTTAATTTTATTGACAAAATTTTAAGGCAAGTATCAAATAAGAAAATAAAAGTTAGATTATAAAGGAAGCTAAAAAAAACCTTTAAATGATTAAATTTTTATTTAATCCTTTATATGAAGTAAACATTATACTCATGCAAGATAATTAGGAAAAGATAATTAGTGAATATTTGTACCATAAAATTGAAACAGTTAAGTTTAGCCTACACAATGGAACTAAGAAAGGTTTTAAATAATGTAGATTTGTACCTAGCTTGAAGCAAAACTTGATATCCCTCGGTGAACTTGAAAAGAAAGGCTAAAGGTTTATTATTAAGAAGTCCTTTGTGTTTGTATTTTTCACACTCAAAAGCATTGATACTCTAGTAAATTAGCAAGATATTTTTATGCGTATCTTTTAAATTTGTTGTAAAACTCTTTTAATAGAGTTGTACCCTTACTTTCATCTATCAATTACATGGACAAATACTTAGGTTTCTGCTTCCTACACCACCTTATTACTAGCTGCATCCCATTCAAGAAAAAAAGAACTAAAACACGCTTTCTCATTGTACTACATCACCCTTGTTGTTATAATTGTTATCATCATCGTTGCCGCCATGCACCATCACAGTGACAAAGGAAGAAGAAGTCACGTTTAAAAATTATAGGGTAGACCAAGAAATTAGGAGGTGCAGGAAGAAAAGGCCAATAATTATAATCCTAAAAAAGCAAGAAATAAAGTTTATATTGCAGATAAAATTATATTACATAAACTTTTGTATAGAAGATTAATAAAAATAGCGTTTTAATGAAACCGGTGGTGTCTCCCATCTTAAGATAGTTTTAATGAAACCCTTGGTGCCCACCAGAAGTGGGAAGAAGTTTGTGTTCACACCTCTTTATGTATATATATATGCAACATATACATGAAATGTTAGGCACTCATCCAACACATATAATGACATTTCTTAAGTCACAACCGCAGTGTCTGATGTGAAATCACAACTAACCTTTTTCTTCTCTATTTCAAGTATTCCTTCTAAGGGAATCACCTTCTCAACCCTCAAACACTCCTTCTCTCTCTTTACCTTTCTCTGCAATCCTATATCAAAACTTTTCACATTGCAAAAACCACTTCAACCCTTCAACCTTCCCTTCTATACTTAACTTTCTTTTTTATCCATCTGAGTATGAGTCATTTTGCTCAGCATATCAAGTTTAACTAAACATTTCCTGCATGATAGCATTTGTATGGCTAGATGATGATCTTGTTGTTGTTTTAGTTGGAAGAACATGAGAAGGCTTGCTAAATGATTCAAGGGGAGTTAATATTCAAAACTGCACTATATCTCTCAAATTCAGGAAAACAGGTACTTTGCTCTGTTTTCATCATTCACAATACCTATTGTCTATGATGCAATTCTGACCTTTTTTTTTATCAAACACCGAACACTGCAGGCTCAAATATGTTCCTCATAAAATATATATGTGTGTGTATGTGTGTTTTCTATTTAGTTTTAATAAGGAAAACATTTTTTTGAAGTTAAAAAACATTTGTACATAGCATGCAAAATATATTCACTATGAAGTACCAAGTCATACAGGATATTTTTTTTTTTCTGCCCACAAAGTATATATATATTGATTTAGCAACACAAGTGAACATTTTTGTTTTTTCGGAGAACTATTTTCACATTCACAGATAAAAAGGGTAAAGCTATATCTAAACAAAGAAATCCATATGATCTATTTAAACCTTTTGTACAAAACGTGTTGCATATTTGTTACATTATTTTTCAAAATAACGATGAAATAGTAGATTTTTACTATAATAATGGCGTCATAATTACCCATAGATATTTATCAAATTAAAAAAATAATTGAGATTGATCATAAGTTTTAATCTCTGACAGTTTTTCAAAAATAATTTAAAAATTTAAAACTAAAAAATGGTTCTTTTTGGTAATTAATAACTAGTAAAAATAACTTATTTTAAATAATAAAAATAGTTTTATAATAACAGGCACTATGGCGCATCGTAGACACGAGTACCAACAATATTTGTAAGTGTGAATATTTCCATGATCATAACTTTGTTATTATTATTACCAACGTAAATTTCTGATTAAAATACAGATATTAGTAGTAGCAATAATTATATGAGTTTTGTCTTATTATTTTTTTCATTCCTACAATTCCATAGAAGATAACTTCGTGATATATGAGATCATTGAAAAGGGCTATTTGTATAAAATCTGTTGCTTTATTTTAAAAAGATAGTGACTTTTAGATTTTATTAGATATTGGTTTATTGCAAAGGAATTTTCATTTAAGATATGCTTAAGATTATTGTGTTTTGTACTTGTGCACATGTCACATAAGCCTGCTTTGAACCAAGGTAGCATGTAATGGCCCTGAAAAATATATATGTAGAGACTGCAGCTCCTACCAACACCATTCTCTCTCTCATCACTTCAATGATGTAATGCTGCTGATGTAGTTCATTCAGGTTTCACATGTCACATTTCTCACAAATCAAATGTTTGATGAGAAAATTTTTATGATCAGAAGAACATAGGCTTTGACAAATTTTATGTCAGCAGTTCCCATCTGCTAAAATATTGAACAAATCAAATTCACTTCATATCTATGAAACACTTGCAGTCAGATAAAGTGCATAGTTACATTCAACAATGTTTTTAGTTTTTAAATTCCATCAATACGTTCCTTCTAAATTTTACTTGGCTGGTCATTAAGGTTTTAAAATTTGACTTCTCAAGATGGGATACTAATACTTTTCCTTCTGATATAAATATATATATATATATATATATATCATGTCAAGGATAAATGAAGAATCTGATATGTAATAAAAGATAGATGAACACTTCAAGCCAAAGTCTATAAAGGTCTAAAACACATATAGGTTTGTCCATATATTCTTGATGAATCTTTCATGTAGAAAGTGAAAAGGAACTTACTGTATATTTTTTATTGCTTTTAGGGCATCAAGTAAAGAATATGGCTAAAGCTAATGATACTCACCCACACTTTTTGTCTTTTAGTTTAGTAGTTTATGGTATTGTTGGGTTTGAGACATGAGAGTTTTGAACCAATATACTTTAAGCCTTAGATTTTTCTGTTTGATACATTCATTGCCTACTAATATTGGTGCTGAGAGAAATTAAAAAAATGCAGAGGACCTTTTACTTTCACTATCTTTTAATTCCTTTGTAATGATATTTTTTTCTGATTCTGTGGTCCCAAATGCAAAGACTTTGTAATTATCCGTGGAAGACAAGGTAAAGAGTGTGACCTCTATGAGTTTGATTTTGACATTTAAGGCAGAGGAATCCATATCCTTAAAACATTGTTTCCATGCTTGCAAGTGACATTTCGTTCCCTTCAGCCAAAATCAAAGCATTGTTTACCCACATGGTTAGAGAAAAAAAAGGTGGTTTAGTTTAGTGCTTAAGTTGTTAAGTCAATTGAAAACGCATTATTGATCGATGAACCAATCAGACTGCTAAAACTTGTAATTCAAGCTACAATGAAAGAGAATATGCCACCAAACATGTACTTGAAATCAAGTATACTCGTTTTTATAATACAGTTTTATGTTGGCCTTACAAAAATAAATAACACCCAACAACTAGTAATTTCGACTTTGAAGACACGATTCTCTCTATATAATGTGTTTTATGGGAATATGATTTAGTGTCCAACAGTACTATTGTACTTTACTAAATAATGACTGAGTTTCATGCCTTCAACTTCTTTGTCACATTGAATTAAGGATGTTGACACTGTCTCTTATAGTACACGACAAAGTCTTCTATGGAATTATTCCATGACACTAACTCTCTTTTGGGACCCAAGAGGTTTTTTTATTATGATAATAACGGTTTAGTCCTTTTATGGAAAAATCGTCATCGACACATGCATGTGATTGTCTGTATGTATAATTAGGAATACATGTTGTAGTTTACAATGTGTACATGGGATTAATTTGAACACACATTAAATTTTGTTTAGCAATGAAAAAAGTATTTGCATTCAATTTTAAAACAAATGGGTTTACCCTGTATAAGATAATCTATTAATAATCTGATTTGATAAAGTATTTATACTCTGATATTGGAGCATTGTTGCAGATATAGGTTAGTGCCTATTGAGGAAAACTAGTCCTAGGCATGCAAGCAGCATATATTCCATCTCAAGTGGAAGAACCAGGACTTGATTTTGCCTAGCAAAAGACAAAGAATCAATGGAATTTCTGTCCTTTTTTCTAGTAGAATCTAACTGTACCTTAAGAGTCATAGTGTCCTCACCCTTTGGATGAGGGTCACTTTCTTTTTTGGTGGCCAAGTTAAGCACCAAGTTTTTAAGCTTTTCATTTCCATGTCAAACAAGTGTTTGTGCGACTCTACTCACTTCATTGCAATGTGTACTTTAATTGAGAATAAGAAAGAATAAAAAATCACCAAAGCTCTTTACTATACATAGATTGTTGTCACTGTTCGTCATCTATGACCACCTCATACTATCACTGATTTGTTGTGTCTCATCTTCCACACAGAAAGGTGTTGCATAAATCCTGTATTTTCTAGGTGGCAAGTTCCTGCTTCAACCACCATTTGTATTATTGACATTCACAAAAACACCACCATTCCACTGACACAGAGAACTGTATGTATGTACGTTTTTTATTTATTTCTGTTTTGTTCTTTTTATTGTGTCATTCTTTGAGCTATCTCTCTTTTTTGAGGCACGTTTTCAGAACAAGAGCCATGAAACAAGGGTCACCAGCATCACCACCACCACCACCATCACCACCACAACCACCCCCACCAACAAAAAATGTGATCAGGCTTCAGAGCAGTTTAACGCCATCAAGGTTAAGACTTCCTTCCAAGTACAGAGAGCCTCCAAGGACTCCACCAGAGGTTGTCAATGGAGTGGTGTCAACTCCAACTAGGAGAGCCCAGTCTGTCACTCCAGAGCTGAAGCACACTTCCAGGATCAAAAGGGGTCTAGTGCTGAACAAGGCCAAACCCAATGAAGAGGTTGCAGGAACCCACAGGGGTAGGGAAGCTGAAGAGGCTAAGGCTGTGTCTCGCTTCGTGCGGCCTCATGCTGTGGAACAGTTTGCTAGGCCAAGGAGTGCGGTTGGGGAATTTACTATGAAGAGGGATAAGGAGGACCCTGATGGAAAGAGTAAGAAGGAACTGATGGAGAAGCTTGAGGTGAGTGAGAGTTTGATCAAGAATCTGCAGTCTGAAGTTCTGGCTTTGAAGGCCGAGTTGGAAAAAGTTAAGGGCTTGAATGTGGAGCTGGAATCTCACAACAGAAAACTCACTAAGGATGTTGCTGCTGCTGAATCGAAGGTGATGTCTTTGGGTGGAAGTGAAAAGGTGAGAGTTCAAATGTCAACGGCTTTGTTATTTGTTATCATAAGCTTCAATTGTTTTTTCACTTCTACTGTTCATATTTTCTGTATGGTTAACCCATTTTCAGCTGAAGTTTGATTGGATATTTTAATGTTATTTTCTATAATGATGTAAAAACGAGGCCACATATCTGTTTTGGGGATAAAAGTTATGTTTGAGCTGTTGCTGCATTGAAAGTAAGTCTGGTTTTTATTTTAGATGAAGGAGCCAATTGCAGAACATCAGAGCCCCAAATTTAAACACATTCAGAAACTCATTGCTGACAAATTAGAAAGGTCCATAGTGAAAAAGGAAGCCATTACTGATGGCTGCTTTGTTAAAGCCTCAACTCCAGCACCAACAGCAATTCCTACGATTCCTGAAGCTACAACTATAAGGGTAGGAAGAAATCCTGCACTAAAAGCATGTCTGCCACCGCCTCCACCACCTCCACCACCGATGCCACCATCAATCCCTTCTATGCCTGTAGCAAAAGTAAATAACACCCAAAAGGCCCCTGCATTTGTAAAATTACTTCACTCATTGAAGAATCAAGAAGAAATGAAGAACACAACAGGATCGGTTAAACAGCAGAAACCAGTTGCTGTGAATGTACATAGCAGCATTGTTGGAGAAATTCAAAACCGTTCTGCTCATCTATTAGCAGTAAGCACTGTGTTTTCAAATTGAACTGGTGGCTATACATTTGCTGTCATTTTGAAATTAAATATACAGCATTAGTGACTGATCATGCTTTCCAGATAAGGACAGACATTGAAACAAAAGGAAATTTTATCAATGACCTTATAAAAAAGGTGGTAGAAGCGGCCTACACGGACATTGAAGATGTCTTAAATTTTGTGAATTGGCTTGATGGTGAACTCTCATCATTGGTGAGTGTGTAGAAAAATTATTAATCTATTCTGTTTTCTATAGAATAGATTGCTGTTGATTTCTTATTGCCACATATTCTGTTTTCTACAGGCTGATGAGCGTGCAGTCTTGAAGCATTTTAATTGGCCTGAGAGAAAAGCTGATGCCATGCGTGAAGCCGCAGTTGAGTATCGCGAACTTAAATTGTTAGAACAAGAGATTTCCTCCTTCAAGGATGACCCTGAAATTCCATGTGGAGCTTCCTTGAGAAAGATGGCCACCCTATTAGATAAGTAAGAAAGTATATCTATATAATATATTTAGGTACTAATTATGCAGAGCACAGATAATGTCAACAGTTTTACATTGTGAGCCAATGAAATATCCTTGGTGATACAACTTTTGACGTACCATACATGATAATTTGTACTTAGATGATAGTGTAAAATTTATACTATGAGTGCATATTCTGTTTCCTCAATTTTAAATATGCCATGTTTATAGTTTGAAGGATACTTACACAGTCCTCTCCTGTCATTCTTATAGGTCTGAGTGCAGCATACAGAGACTAATCAAGCTGAGAAATTCTGTAATGCGTTCATATCAAGATTACAAAATTCCAACCGCTTGGATGCTTGACTCGGGAATCACGGAAAAGGTATCATTTTTATCTTTTCTTTGTGAATGTGACGATAACAATAATGCCACTCAGTAAACCTTGTCTTTCTAATAAGAATTAGAATTTATGGTTTAATGACATTGGCAATTCTTGAAATCAGTCTGCATGAATAGATATAATACTTAACCATGAACTGAGTTGTGTGAGCCTTGTGTTGCTTGGTTTACCTTCAGTTTTTCTTTAACTCAATGAAAATGAATCGAAACAACACAGCTAACTGGATGAAGAACAGCTTCAGTTTAGGATTTATTAATCCAAGTCTCTTGTAATTAGCGGTTACTGAATATCACTTACATACGATATTTATCTTTTGAGAGTTGATATTACAATTTTTCATTGTAAAACTTGATTAGAAGAATAATAATTATGCCATATCTGCAGATTAAGCAGGCTTCTATGATTCTGGTCAAAATGTACATGAAAAGAGTGACAATGGAACTTGGATCTGCTAGGAATTCTGACAGACAGTCTAGTCAAGAATCCCTTCTGCTTCAGGGCGTCCATTTTGCATACAGAGCTCATCAGGTATTTCCTAGTGTCTGCAAATATCTGCATATCTTCTTGTCATCAATATTAACCTCCCTACTAATGTGTCAGTTATTTGCAAATTGTTATAAATGTCATTAGACCGCATGATCATAAATTGAACAAATACCATGTGCTGGTTTGAATGACGAGTACTACTAAGTTTCTGTTTCTTGTACTGCAAACTTAATGATTGTGGATGTTTTGAAAATTTAGCAGAATTCTGTAATTCTTTCACGCCTTTGAAATGACCACCAACCCTTTCTTTTATAAAAAGCAAAAAACTTATTTGCACTCACAACATGAAATATTACAATTTTCATCATTTATGTGACTGATTCACATATTTTGGTATGTCTTTGTAGTTTGCTGGAGGTTTGGATGCAGAAACTCTGTGTGCTTTTGAAGAGATAAGGCAACATGTACCAGGACACTTAGCAGGGTCTCGAGAACTTTTGGCTGGCATAGCATCATCGTAAGAGGCCATTGATATTTTATGCTTTCTTTTCCTTGTCCCCAATGTTCAACACCATTGACGATCATTCAGAAGAAATAAGAAGAAACATGCAGAGATTTTGAAGAAAAAACTAGCTGCTCCCTCGTCTTGATCTATGGATAAAATCTTCAGTCATTGAGCTTAAACAGTTTTTGAGAGTTTCTTTTTAGGATATGCTAGCTATATGCACTTACAATGTAAAGTACTTTTCATGATCATCCAGACACAGATTTACCATGTATGATAAGTTTGTTAACTTTGATAATAACCAGCAAAACTGATCTTAATCGATTGATGATAAATATTTTACGTTGAGTACATATATATACATTAAAAATAGTTTCCTCACCCAAAGATAGATCCCTTCTACTCTCTGATTACGTGACAAGAACAAGAAGTTTGCATGTGTAGGTGCTTATATTTACCTGAGTTTCTGTAATAACATAATTTCATTGACATATTGAGTTTAGAAGTACAATTCGGGCTATTCCTTTTCTAACATGCATGCAACTGTTTATTTTTGAAAAATAGTTATTTTATTAAATGCCATTTTAAGAAATTGACAAAAAGTAAAATATATTTTCCAAAACAACACTTTAGTTTCCAAAACAACATGTTATCTTCTATGTTTGCTTCTTCAGGTCATTAAACTTTCTCAATAAAAAAATATATTTAAAGATAAAACTATTAATGAAAATTAACAAAAATAAAACTATTTTTAACAATTTATTACACTACTACAAAATAACGGTTGATATCAAATAATTTTTTTTAGTGTTTCCACGTCTACTCTTTAAAATGATTTGTATGAATTTCGTAAATAATTGAATTAGAGGTATATTTTTATAGTTTTTAGAATGAAAACTTGTAGACTATTTTTGAAATGTAAAGAGTAAAATTCTAATGTGTAAAAAGTTAGGTAGTTTGAATTATTTTATAATATTAAGATTTCGTAAGAAATTATAATAATTTTTAAAAGTATTATAAATTATGTTTTCTACTAAATGAAACTTTTGTCGAGGATGGACATGGATGATTTTGAATTTGTTTGCATTTTGGAGTTAGCTTTTAAAAAAATTGATTTTGTTTCTTGTAAAAGTTGATGGAATTATATATGTTCATGATGACAAAATTGATTATTATATGTCACATTTTTTTTTCTTTATTTGACATGTATTCAAACATGAAATCTCAATTTACCATAATCAATTTAAGTAGGTATAGAAAAAGGTCTAAGAGAAAGTTAACGGGAGATTCTAGGAAATTCAACATAATTAGTTATGAATAGCTGGTACAAAAAATAAAATCATAACTTTTTAACTCAAAACATTACAACAAAAAGTTTATAGAATCTTGTACTTAATCATTTTACTAATTATTATCCAATATCCAATTCTCTTGAATCCTAACTTTTCTCTCTCTCCAAAGACTTCACTAATGTGTTTCAACATGATAACTAATAATTTTTAATATTATTATAAAAGTTTTGTAATTTTTCAATTTTGTTCTTTTAACAAAACAAAATATTAATGTATATATGAGATAACATGGGATGCCACATGTTAATAAGGGTGAGAGAATGAAAATTGAAATAAATGGTTTTTCACATATTCGTAAAGAATCTTGCATGGACCAACAAGCTTTTCACATATTTCACTGACTAATCTCATGCTCCGACCAAACTTTCTTCATGTTCGACCTTTCCATGAGAACCATCGAACTTTACCTCGCTTCATTCAAGTTCTTCAATTTTTGTTTTTCAAATTTAAAAATTCCACTTTGGACAAATATATTACTTAAAAAAAATTATAAATTCATTTATGAAATTCCACATCCAACTATGTCAAAATTGTGTGAAAAAAAAAAGTGTATTAAAATATCATTTCCCTTTAATTCACATGATCTTGGTTGTTTTTCTTGCCACATATTCCATGAATCCAGGGATACAATAAAGTGGTAGACTCCGCTTTGAAATAAATGTTTTGATTTTACTTGGAACTGGTGTGATAATGAACTTAAAATATATTTAGATTAGTTGTAAATTTTTATATTTTTCATATGTTATTTCTATTCTTGAATTTTCGATTAAGTGTATGACATGTCAATTTTATTAATATTGACAATTTGTACACATATGATTGGATAATGATATTTTGACAACATTTTAATACTATCTACGTGTCATCTTGTGATTGATTCATGTTGGTGCTTATTGTTATTATTGATTGAGGAGTAATTTTGGATCAATCACATAATAATACATAAATAATGTTAAAATGTTGTCAATAAAGTGTGGTTAAATATTGTCCCATATCTCATATGATTATAAGTATATATGAAACTCTTGTTTAAATCAGCCTGAAGTATGGTTTCTTAGCTTCATATTTAAGTAAATTTTATCTATTAAATCTATTGCTTAAATGGTTTAAGATTTCAAATATATACACCGTTCCTCTCTCCAACGAGGAAGAAAATAGTAATAATTATATTAAGTAATTCATACTTAATTAATAAATTCAACCGAATTTCAGAAAGATTTTTTTTTTAATTTCAAATTTATTTCATTTCATCTCTCATTCAAAATTTCAATATTATTTTAAATATATCTCGGCATTTTTTAATAAAATAATAAATTTAGGAGAAACAAATTTTCTTAGAAGCTAAACTATCCGATTATGAGATTTAAGAAATTGTTATTATTTTGAATACTAACATTACTGTCGTCAGCGTATCATGTCACAACTTATTATTATTTATCCCAATGCATATAAATAAATATATTTAATGCGAATGTCAATTATAGTTATCCTATTGAGACTAAATTTGTGATTAAAATTTATTGATAGATTAAAACAAAATATTGAAAAATAAAACTGGTAAGAATTTAAGCATACATCACATGATTATAAAACTGTCCACGCGTAACTCGTTCTAGAATTAGCATATTGCCGTGAAGCCCTGAACACGACCAACACCAGTTCGCGTCGTTATAATTAGTACAAACTCCAGTGTCGTCTGGATTCTGGGAATATAGCAAGAATATTGATCGTTCTAGTACGCATGTGCTACATCGTATGCTGAAAACTGCTGCAGTTACTTCCACTCCCATTACCGTGCGGAAAACAACATCATCTTAAGCGAAACTACGTAGTGGTTTCCATGTAAGGTTGAATTGTTCCTTGTCAGCATAAAAAACAACTTAAACAGAAAATTAACAAGTAAGCTTCGATTTTGAGGTAAAGGGGAAGCTGTAAATTGTTCAAACTTCATACCCAGTAGCTATTAGGTGTATAAAATTGCAAGACCCGTATGTTTGTTTAGTTCCATATACGAAAGGCATGTTACTCCTCTTTATAGTGTAGGCCTATACCTTTTTCATCAGGTGTGAAATTTTCATGTTTATATGTTGTCAATCACTATTGATTTTAGATTTCCAGTATATTTCCTTGACTTCAATCTGTGAACCTTGAAATTGTTGTGTTTTGCTTCTGATGTTAATTCAAAGGATAGTATCATGATTTTCTTTTTCTGGTTTTGTTTAGAAATGTCTTTGTTTCTTACATGGCTGGCATTTGAATGAACTTGAGGTTTTTAAAATTCTGCTGTTAACTTTACTCAAACTATTGAAATTGTTAGCAGAACAGAAAACGGAAAAGATTATCTGATTGTTGTGATTAGTTTGTTGGTTTTATATTGCTTCTGCTGAGTTTATTGAACATGTTGAACCAGATGAATTGTAAGAATGGCTTTGAAGTGTCTGCTGGTTGTTATGTGTGTTTGGGCTTGGTTAGGATCGTTGACTTTTGCAACTTCTGATGATGGGTTGATGAGGGTTGGTCTAAAAAGGAGGAATTTAGACTTTCAGAGTCTTAAAGATGCAAGAATCAAAGAGTTCGTTCGTCCTACTGATTTAGGGGGTGATCAAAAAAATTGTTGTGATGAAGATATAATATATCTTAAGAATTATGTTGATGCACAATATTTTGGGGAGATTAGTATTGGTTCACCCCCTCAATACTTCAATGTTGTGTTTGACACTGGCAGCTCAAATCTTTGGGTTCCATCTTCCAAATGCATCTTCTCTGTAAGTTACCCGATGATCTGATTCTGATGCAAGTGCTTACTCATTAGTATTTGTTTTATTTTTGAATGAACATGTTTTAAAAACACTCATGGCATGTGCAGATCGCTTGCTATTTTCATTCCAAGTATAGGTCGAAGATATCTAGCACCTATACCGAAATTGGTAACTTTGGATTATCATGACATATCATTGAAAAGATAAATTAATTGATTTCATTTTAGATGCCTTCATTTGTTTTTATATGCAGAAATATAAATGCTGTTTCAATGAACATGCTTAAAGTTGCATTTGGGAAAATATGCAGGGACGCCTTGCAGTATCCCTTATGGCCAAGGATCTATTTATGGATTCTTCAGCCAAGATAATGTACAAGTTGGAGATGTCATCATCAAAGATCAAGTCAGTGTATTGACCTCTGTTAGTTTTCAATCAGATTATGCTGCTTTGGTTTTGCTGATGATTTGTAATTTCCCATCCTTCAGGAATTTGCGGAGATTACAAGAGAGGGATCATTCACACTTTCTGCACTTCCATTTGATGGCATACTTGGACTCGGGTTCCTGGATGCTGCAATTGGAAAAGTCACACCAGTTTGGTACACACAAGAACTTTATTAATTCATTTCTCTCTTCGTTGATGTTTCTTCTTTTCTCCATTTTAGATTTGAATAAATGTTGCAGAGTATGCGTGATTGTATTTTTATGGTAACAGGGTAGAAGGATAGTCAAACTTCCCTTTTTTCTTGAGTTTTTTATGCTTCAGATGCAATGATTAGTTAGGTGAATGCAGGTATAATATGATAGAACAAGAGCAAATATGCCACCAAATTTTCTCTCTTTGGCTAAATCAAGATCCAACAGAAGAAATGGGGGGTGAAATTGTCTTTGGTGGTATTGACTATAGGCATTTTAGAGGTGAACACACATATGTTCCCCTTTCTCAAAAGGGTTATTGGCAGGTACAGCATGTTTATAATTTCATCCGTGGCTATTATCATCTACCATGTCGTTATTGACTTCGGGAGTTTGCACCTGTAGATTGATGTGGGAGATGTTCTAGTTGCAAGTAACTCAA